TTTTTTTTTTTTTTTTTTTTTTTTGAGAGAGGTTTTCACTATAGGGCGCATGCGCTTGCCAGACAGACAGAGACATAGAGACAGAAAGCGAGAAATCACCCCCCAGGGGGGATGGTCATGCCGCAATCCCTTCTCCTCCATTCTCCTCTCAGGATCTTGGGCATGCACGCACACGCGCCCAGCGTGAGTTTTAAGCCACCGGGTTCAGGACGCGAACCGCGGTCGACTATGTGGGAGTCCAGCGACATAGCCATTACGCTAACTGTTGGTTCCCAAGGGATCTGGTTTTTTTAATCATGAGGCCAAAGTTAATCATGAAGTTAAGTTTTTTATGTAAATATAAGCAATGTTAAATTCTCTATGTAATACTTTCCAAAAGACATGGGATTTTGGGCACCAGCTGAAATATCATGCCTTTGCTTAAACTTAATAAGGAAATTCAAAAGGTAGATACAGAACAGATTTCGAAGGACTTTGTTTGCCATGATAAGAAACTTTTCTTTTTTTCAAGTAGAAGGGAGACATTGAAGGATTTTTATGTAAGAGAAAAATGTGATGAAATTTGTTTTGGAAAAGATGTTTCAGAAGGCAGAGAGGTAGACAGCATCTTCAAAAAATTCACAGAATAAGCATGTTATGTAAAAACTATGCATGGATTCTGAAATTTTTTGCACTAAAATAAACTCACGCTTTAGTTCCATTTTTCACAAACTTTTAAAAGTCTCCCCGTATTTGAGGGGATAATGGTCATATTGGCAGGAAGATGAATTGAATAGGTTATTTTACTATCCCAGATGTGAGGTAATGAGGACTGGTTTCTTGGTGGCAATGATAATAAAAAGGAAGAGACAAATTAAAGCTGTGTTTTAAAGGTGGAAAACTTGCTGACAGGGGACAGAGGTCAATTAGAGAGGCATCTAAAATGGCTCCCAGATTTTGAACTTGAAACGAATGAATAGTTCTGCCATTACCTGAGATTTCAAATGCACAGAAAGAATTGGGTTAGTTTTGGGGCACTTTGTGTTGACATGTGTGGAATAGCCAAGTGTGGATGACAGAGGCAACAGCATTCATCAGTCCCATGGCAGCGTGGGCAGTTGTTTTTCATTAACCTTGCACTGTTATGGATTAGTGACAGTCGAAGGTATGGAAAAGATCGCAGACACAATCGGGTGGGTACCTGAGATGATTAACCTTGGAGTACATGTGGTCTAGGCCTTGGTACACCGAGTTGGAAGATTGTTTAGCTAATGAGGAATAATTAAACTCCGGTGCATTTTTACATGATTGGTAAGAATTATTTTTTTATTCTTTATTTAGTATACCTGTATTAATCTATTTTGGCACCTGTGATACTGTTGTAAGAAATTAATAAACGATTTTTATAATTTTAGAAGCGGAAAATATGTGTATAAACCTGTCATGAATCAAACATGTTGTCCTCAGTACACAATAAGGTAAGAATTTTAGTTAATAGAAAATGATCTATAATACAAAGGTTGTATATAATTTTTAGTAGTCTCATACATTTTTTAATATTAATTTCTACTCTAGGTAGATTTTTTTTTTAGTAAGAAAAAGCATGAGTTATGCCATTTTTTATATTGAGGCTATATTCATGTACTGATTAATAGCTTTTAATAATACTGTTTTATTAGTTCTAATCTAAATATGGCATAAAAATAACCTCTTGGGCCAGCAGGTGGCATGGGTAAGGCGGCTGGATCTCATCTCGCTGACTGCATAACTCAGGGCCTAGATTTATTTGGTGGCATATGCTTGTGTGCTCAAAATCCCTAAAGAGAAAACAGAGAAGAGATTGCGATGTGGCCATCTCCTATAGGAGTGCTTTTTCACCTTCTTTCTCTCTCTCTGCCTCTGTTTCTTTCTGGCAGCACACATGCCCTCTAGCAAATTAAAAAGAAAAACAGACAAAACCCCAACAACCTCGTAGTTTAGCAGCCTTATCAATGGATACTGTGAAATATTAGGAAAATATTGGTACACATTCAAATTAAATTTTTTTTTTTAAGGCTTTTGACATAGGACATGTGTGCTCACTACTGAGAGACAGAGAGAGGGAAAGTGAGAAATCACTTGAAGGGGATGGCCACCTTGCAGTCTCTTTTCCTCCATTTACCTCCTGGTCCTAGGATTTTGGGCCCACACATACACATTTCGGCATAATTTTCAAGCCCTTGGGTTCAGGACTTAAACCACTATTGATTATGTAGGAGTCCTGCACTTTAACCACCATGTCATCTGCTGGCCACATTAAATGGGAAACTTAAGCTAAAAGTCTGTTTTCTTTAGAGAGATTTTTACCTTAGGGTGTGTGTATTGGTTGGAGAGACAGAGAGACATAAAGTGAGAAATCACACCCCGGGGTGATGGCCACACTATAATTCCTTCTGCTCCATTATCCTCTCGGGATTTTGGGTACGCACACACATGCACCTGGCATGAGTTTTAAGCCACTGGGTCTGGGACTCAAACTGTGGTCAGCCATGTGGGAGTCTCGTGATGTAACCATTATGACATCTCCTGGTCCCTGTTTTTTCTTTTCTTTTAAAAAAATTACCAAGTGTGTAGGTGTGTACAATCACTGGAGAGAGAAAGAGGAAGAAAGCTCTCCTCAGTAGGACATGATTACAATCCTTTCTCCTCCATTTCTTTGTCTTGTAGGGATTTTTGGGCACACATGCACATGTGCCTGGTATAATTTTTCAAGTCACCAGAGAGCAAGGATTCAAACTTGGGTTGACCATGTGGGATCTGTGTCCATTAACCACTCGTTTGTTGGATCAGCCTCTAAAGTCTATTTTCCTATAAGGTGTTTGTTGGACATTTCATAATCTTTTGGGTTTTTTACCCATCTCTCTCTCTCTCTTTTTTAAAAGAATTACTTTATTTCACTTTATTTTTAATTTGACCAGAGAAGGACAAAGCGAGTGAGTGAGAGAGAGAGAGAGAGATAAAGTGAGAAAGCAAGCCACCAGGTCCAAGACTTGAACCATGGTCAGCCATGTGGGAGTCCAGCATCCTTAACCACTGTACCACCTGTCAGCCCCTACCCATCTCTTCACTTTGCTGTAATACAGAATTTTTTCTTTTTCTGATTATAAAGTTTATTTTTTTCTTTTTTTGTGGGGAGTGGGAGGGGTGGAAAATGTGGAAAGTACATTTTGAAATATGTACTTATTACTAGTTTCAATGTGTGTGTGTATATACTCTAGATTTAAAAGTCACAGTTAATGAGGCTGGCAGGCGGTATGGTGGTTAAGGTGCTGGACTTCCACGTGGTCAACAGCAGTTTGAGTCCCAGACTTGGCAGCTTGCTTTCTTACTTTCCCTCTCTCTGACTCTCTCTGGCCAAATTAAAAAAAAATAATAATAATGATGAATAAAATTAAATAAAATAATTCTTTAAAGAAAAAAAAATCATAGTACCTTTTTGTCTGGTCCTTACAACTGACTTTCTTATTGGCCCTCAACTTGCTTGTAGGTTGTAGACTATTTTGAGAATTTGATGAAAGCTCTAGCCTTTTTGTGGCCCTCTCCCCCCCAAAAAAAGATAAAGAGACACAGATATGTACCTTTGCATATTAATTTTAGGATGATCATGGACTTCTAAAGGCCCACTGTTCCCTGATTAAGAGTCCTTTCTCTTTTGTAACTGAACATTGTATGGCAATTGATTAAAAAGATGGATGTTGTAGTTAGGAAGAGAAGACATCTCCTAAGGCAAAAATAATTTTCCTTCAGAGAGCAATTTATTAGATATGGGCAGTATTCTTTTCTCAAGTGTAAAGTTGATTGGCCTGAACCCTGAGAATTTTTATGATCAGAAAAAGCTTGTTAGTATTGGTTACAAAAAAAATAAGCATCTAAAGTATATGAGAGGCCTTTAGAGTTCGTAGAAAATGCATATTGTGAAAAAAACCTCTGCATTAATTTCAGTTTTTTGAACCAAAATAAACTCTTACTTTAGTTCCTTTTCTACAAATGTTTTGACATTCCCTCATATTGATTGCCTGCTATATACAAAACACTACTGTAGGTAGATTGCCTTTACAAAAAGGGTCTCAATTAACATTACAAAACAAAATAATTTTTAAGATATGATTTTTACATTTAACATGGAATCAAACATTTCCTGAATTGTTATTCTTTACACAATTTCATTATGTATCTTGATGTTATAGAATCATTTTCCAGGTTTCTACTTCTGGTTATTTTAGTTTATATACTGTGGTAGTTACAATAAGGACTTGTACAAAGTAAAGGAGATTATAGCCTATAGCTTAAATTCTTGTTAGGCAGTTTGAGGCTGCCAAATATGTGAGTATCAGTGAGGATGAACTTCTCTGGTTATGAATTTTTTGTTGTTGTTTTATTATTTAATTAAAATGTTTATTGTAGGGTGTGTGCACTTGCCAGAGGATAAGAGTTGGGAGGATGAGAAAGTACCATCCAGGGGTGATGGCCATACCACAGTCCCTTCTCCATCCTCCTCTTGGGATTTTGGCATGTGCTCACATGTGCCTGGTGTGTCTTCAAGCCTCTGGGTGCAGGATGTGAGTTGTAGAGTCAGCCATGTGGGATCCAACTACCTAAACCACCACACCGCCAGCTGGCCCATTGGTTTTTATTTTCATCGCAATTATAGATGTTTGTAATTTAGAGACTGGGCAGTGGTGCAGCAGAATTATATATGCTCATAATTTAAAGTGTCAAATAATTTCATAAAACTCATTTTGGAGAATATTAGTCCCGAACCAGAAATCCTAGGCATGAGATTTGTTGTATTCAGAGCTAATTTTATTTGTTAAAGTTTGCGTTCACTTTTTAAGTGTTTATTTTGCTTTTCTAGGTGCCGACCTTTACAGTTTCAGCCATCAAAATCTCATAAGAAGGTTCTGAAAAAAATGTTGAAGTTTCTGGCCAAAGGAGAGATTTCCAAAGGAAATTGTGAGGGTCAGATGAGTTTGGGGGGTTGTGGGTATCAAAAAATGATTTACTTTAAATGGATGTGCCTTTCCAAGGTTCCCACTTTCACTTATCTTAAGTTAGGTGTGGAAAATACTATAGTCCCTTATTACTATAACGACCACGATTGCTGTTGCCACTGCTATTACTATTACCCCTTTTCCCCAAATCAGAGATATAGGAACACATTCCAGGAGAGTGTAGCTTAGAAAGAAAATTGAGGATCATTTTAAAGATGTGATTTTCAGGGCCAGCAGGTGGCATGGTCAAGGTACTGGACTCTCACATGGTGGCTGTGATTTGAACCTCAAACCTGGTGGCTTGAAAATCATGCTGGACACGTGTGTGTGCATGCCCAAAATCCTAGGAGGAGTATGAAGAAGGACTTAAGTGCAGTAAGACCATCTCTCCTGGGAAGTGATTTTTCACTTTCCCTCTTTGTCTCTCTCTCTCTCTGTCTCTGGCGAGTGCATGTGCTGTATGGCAAAAACAAAAACAAAACAAAGAACAAAGAAATTGAAAAAGTTTTGATTTCTTAGAGTTTATTGAAATGTTAGTTTTCAACTTGTCTTGCTTCATCCTAATATCCTTATGAAGGAAATAGATAGTGACAGTAAACTCTAGAGAAGCAGATGGTTAAATGCAGCTTATACAAGATTGCACAATTACTTTTAATGCTGAGTTGAAAGTAATTGCTTGTGTTGCAACCTGTCACTCTTGTGAGTCTTGTTTAAATTGGCGTCAGAGTCCTCTTAAAGCAATCTTAGTAGTCTTTGACAGCCTCCTTGCTATTCGATATGATGTGATACTTCTGGATCATCTTGTATAGACATTGCTTCATGTTTTCTGTGTTTGAATAAGGTTTTGATTTAGTCAGTTATATTGTCTGAAGTTCTGTTTCTTATTTGTCTGATACATTTTGAATTGCGAACGACTCCTGCAAGATGATTAATAGCCTTTAATTAACTTTGGTTATAGATAAATTGGTTACAGATAAATTGCTTTTTCAGATTTTTTTCCTATTGTTTTTTACTTTTTTTTTTTAAGTTTTCATGTAGTCAGTGCCTTACCACATGAGCAAAAGAATTTAGAATGCCACCTATTCTTTTTTCTCTTTGAAGAATTATTATTTTAATTTTATTTATTATTACTATTCTTCAATTTGACTAGAGAGGGACAGAGACAGAGAGAGTGAGAGCGAGAAACCACGCCGTCAGGTCTAGACCTTGAACCACGGTCAGTCATGTATGAGTCTAGCACCTTAACCATCTGCCACCTCCTGGCCCTGCCACCTATTCTTAGAGTTGAACGGTTAGAGAATTTTGCCTTACTGCAGTAGGAGTTGTCTAATCCTAAGTCTTAGTTCATTAACTCATTCTGAAAGTATATTTCAAATGAATATAATATCCCAGACCCTGTTATAAGCACTGGTGATGCAATGACCAGCAAGATAATTAAGTTTTTTACCCTAACAGACTGCTCGTGCTGGATTAGGATTCAGGACAACTTTGAGCAGTCATGGCAGGTTAGGGGTAGCAGAGGCCAGGAGGCTTCGTTTTTAAAGGTTCAAGGGCAACTGGAGCATTAGAAACAGAACTTTAGTGCAGCTTTGATTCATATAGTCAGTACACAATCTTCAAATTTATTTTGATAGTTGGGAATCATTTTCTGAGTTTCAAAAATTAATATTGCAAAGGAACTTTGAGGATGCTATTCATTTGTAAGTTGATGGTTGCTTTTCTTTTTTACCTTTAAGCTTTTTTCTTTTATGAGAGAGCTCATATGAGAGACCATGTGTGGATATGCATGAGACAGAGACAGGTTACCCCTGACTGGATCTGATCACACTGCTGTGCCCCTGCCCCAGTCCTCCAGCTTGTCAGGAGACCTTGAGGACATGCCTGTACCTCTGCTGTGTTATCAGGTTAATGCAGGGTCTGAACCTTGGTTGGCTGTGTGGCCTCCAGCTCTGCAAATCAGTACAGTACCACTTGTGCCACTGACACTGGGCCAACGGTTATTATATCCTTTTACATAGCTATTGCACTTTTTTTTTTTTATTTGCCTTTGAGTTATTTGTGTCTGGAACTTTACTCATTTGGGTAAAAGGCTAAACAGCTGTGATAAAGAGACATCAAATGAAATGACAGAAAAGTGGTAGCCATCTGTTGCTTTTCTCGTATAACAGTTCAGTGTAGGTGTTCTAAGTTAGCCTGCTGCTCTGTTCTTCTCAGCCATTCTGGGACACGTCAACGTGATATTTCAGGGTCGCTCTGAAGAGAGGGAAAGGGCAGTAGTCCAGGCTCATAGATTTCCTTTAAAACAAGTGAGGCAAAATTGGACATCAGTTGTGTTATATTCCACTGGTAGGAGCTGGTTACAACTTCCATAGGAAATGGCTATGCATTCATCTGCTAGGTGCCACAGTCTTAAGTAGAGTGCTGTAGACAAGAGAATGAAGTTGGCAGATACATATTCGTCCCCACCACAATGGACTGTGGAGCATTGTATTCCAGTGTTTGTCTTAACTGTGTCAAATGACCTGGCTAATGGACTTCTGTGTTTTCTATGTTGTAGATGAGCCCATGGATTCCACAATGGAGGATGCTGTTGCGGGTGACTTTGCACTAATAAATAAATTGGATATACACTGTGATCTGAAAACACTGAGTGATGACCTCAGAGAGAGCTTAGAGAGTGAAGAGAAGAAAGGGAAAAGTTCAAAGAAAGAAGAATCTAATGAATTGATTCAGTCACAAGATATAGAAGAGAAGTTGGGCTCTGGCGAGCCATCACGTTCAGTTAAAGTTCATACAGTTCCTAAGCCAGGTAGTGAAAGTTTGACATCAACTCCTATTAAATGCTTTTTGTTTTACTTGGGTTATTGTAATCTCAGGGCCTTACCACTACCCAAAAAGATAAATGACTCAAGAAATATTTAAAGTAGAGTCCTGTTTTATACAACCTGGATGTCGGTGGACAAATCATGTCTTCTTAAAACTACTATATTTAAAAAGCCTGAAATAATAACTCTATTATCCCAAAATAGAGACATTTTTAAAAATGCAGGGTAGAATGCATATACGTATATGACAGAGAAGGAAATAGAAGCATCTTCCACAGGGTTAGTCATGCTGCGGTCCCCCTTATTCCAGCCCTCCAGATCCCAGGCATGCATAGGTTCTGATTTGTCTTTCACCAGCCAGGCTGGGGACTAGTATCTCGGTTGGCATGTGGGTCCCAACTTTATATTTTGGTTTCCCACTAACTATACCATAGAGGCCGGGCTCCAGATAGAGACATTTTAAAAGAGCTCATTTTCTTCTCAATACTTGAGTGCCTCATAGGTTTGAGAATCAAATTTTTTGTCAGTGAAAAGATTTGGTGGACTGGCCCTGTTGCACAGTGGTGAGACCTTGCGCGTAGGAGCCGGAGCCCACATGCCCCACTGTGGTTTAAATCCCTGCCCTGGAGGCATGAAAAATGCCAAGAATGTGTGTGTGTGTTTGTGTGTTCATGGCCCAAATCCTTCTGGGATGAAGAAATGGAGGAAAAAGGACCGTGGCATGACTATGTCCCAGTAGGGGATTCTCTGTCTCTCCGGCAAGTGCATGTACCCTCTGGCAATTAAAAAAAAAAGAAGGAAGGAAAATTATTTTTATTTTTGGTGTGAAGACAACATACAATATAAAGTATTAGGTCTAAAATATGGACATTGTACAATTCTTCATAAAGAAATTTTTGTTAAATTTCTTTATGTAGTTTTAGTAAATTTTGGTTTAAAATATCCAGATTTTGGTGTTTACACTTTTAATGAAGTAAGTTTTTTTTTTTCCTCTATTATCACTCAGAATTAGGCTTAAAGAATGTACCCAACATTAATTTGTTTTGTGTGTGTGAGAGTGTGTGTGACTCAAAATTATTTTATAAAATGTGAAGTTGGATGGTTATTATGCTTCATTTCTTGAATTAGTTCTTATGTTTATGCAAAATGATCAAAGGGAGAGATTTTTAGTATAATTTTAGTTTTGCTTGTTTAGATTATGTTATATACGTTAGAACACATTGGTAGGAATTTCATTTGCACTCATATTGAATAGTTTTTTATGTAAGGGTATTTAAATTGATGTTGGGCTTTAATTTCTTCCTAATGAATAGGAATAGTTTGAATGATTTAGATAATTTTTAATTTGTACTCTTTTAGGTGACAACTTTTTTTTATTATAAAATTTATAGGTTGTCAAATTTAAAGAATTTTTATTATGGAGAATTTCAAACATAATCAAGAGTAGATTGAATAGTAGAATAAACTTTCCTGGACTCTGCTTTCACTTAAAAGAATTACTGATTTCTGATAGCCACTCTCGTTTCATCTATTCCCGTATTTTATTTCCCCCTTTCAATATTACTCTGAGGCAAATTCCAGACAATATGCCATTTTATATTTCAGAAAATACTTTTAAAAAATATATTCATAATAGCATTTTAAACATAAAGCATTTTACTGCCATTGACTATTCAGTGTTCAAATTATAATTTTTCAATGTTTGTGTGAGGATCTAGATAATGTCTGTGTATTGGTTGGTACATTTTAAAAATGTCTTTTGATCTCTGTTCTCTGTCTATTATTCCTCTTGTTTTACTTGCAGTTAAGTTGTTGAGGAAAGTGAGTTCCTCATTTCACTCTCTTTTTCTGACCAGTTCTATTTGCAATATAATTTGACTTGTTCTTCTGCTCTCCTATAAATTGATCCTTGAATCTAGAGCCATGATTAGATTCAGGGCTAAATGTTCTTGGTTTCTGAAGTGGGACAAATCTTAATCAGAATCAAGTTTTAATTATTTAGTAGAGGACAGGCAAGGTTACTTCATGAGTGGTTGGGTGCTCTTTTAGGAGATATAACGTCTAGGTGCCTCTTTTTGTTAGCGCTAAAAGTCCTGGATGCTTAATGTCTAAACCCATCTTTTTATTACTTCATCTTTCAGTCTTCATTTATTGGCTGGAATACTGGAGTAAAGAGAAACTTCGTCTCATCTGTTTGTTTTCCATTAACGCTATAGCAGAGACAGGATAAGTTCTTGATTTTTTTCCTTTTTATTTATCATTTTTGAAAATGATATCTATCAGTGGCCAGTTAAGTTTTATTCAGTGTAATTGTGATCTTATGGATGTCTACATATTCGCTCAGGTTGAAATCTGTTGTACCTGTGCGAGTTCCTTCAGTTTGGCACCTGAGGTCCTTTTGACACAATCCTAGCAGTCTTTGACAGCCTTCTTGCTACCTGGTAAGACATGATGTCTCTAGATCACCTTCAAGGAGCCCTTTAGGGAAATGATATTTTGGACATCAACTACACTAGAGGGGCTATGGGCTTGGTTATTGTTCTGTAGGGCTTTTCCAGGAACAGACTGAAGAAATCATGAGTTCATATTGATACCATTTCAGTTCAGGACTGTAGCATTTTTACCTTTTTGTTTGTTTTACATTTGTATCTTTTTCTTCCATACTGAGAAACCTGGTTCTTAAGGTCATTGGATATGGTAGAATTATGCTATTATAGAATATCACAATTACCTGATTCCACATTATGCAATGATTTTAGAGTAACAATAACCTTGCCTCCAGCAGTATGACTACTGAAACAGTAAAAACTTTTTTTTTTTTGAGAGGCTTTTGCTGTAGGGCGTGTGCGCTCACTAGAAAGACAGAGACAGAGAGATAGAAAGTGAGAAATCAACCCCCGGGGGGATGGCCCCACTGCAATCCCTTCTCCTCTTGGGATCTTAGGCATGCATGCACACTTGCCCAGCGTGAGTTTAAGCCACTGGGTCCAGGACTCAAACCGCGGTCAACTACATGGGAGTCCAGTGACATAGCTGTTAATGCCAACTGCTGGTCCTGATATTTGGTCTTTTAATTAGAACAAAACTAATTAACTAAAAGTGAAACAGTGAGACTCACCTTCATTATTTGGAGAGAGACACAAATACCTTCAACTAAGCAACGATTTTTTTCATTATAGAAACCTACCAGAATTATTTTGGGAATCAGTATTCATTGTACTTGGTTTTTAAATATTTATATCATCAGTAATTTCACTGATGATGTAGATGAAATGCTTTTCAGAAATGTTTACTGGAGCTAGATGGCAGTGTCCTTCTGAAGCAGAAGATACTTGATTGTGTTCTTTCTAATTACAAAGGCAGAGAAATAGAATATTTAAAAGAAAAAGATTTTCAACAATGATAACTGCTTTAAAAAGTTTCTATTTATATGTGACTATTTATATTCTTTGGCCTTTGGCCATACCTGCTTTCTGAGGTAGAATTTTAAGATAAATTAGGGGTCTCTATTAGGATCTTCATTTACCTCTAAAGCTAACCTAACTGGGTCGGCAGGTGGCGTGATCATTAAAGGCCACATGGCCATCATGGTTCAAGTCCTGGACCTGGTGGCTTCCTTTCTTATTTTCTCATTCTCTCTTTCTCTCTCTCGCTCTCTCTTTCTCTCTCTCTGATCAAATTGGAAAATAATAATAATAAAGTTAAAACAAAATAATCCTTTAAAAAAAAGCTAACCTAACTGTTGGAATTCCTTGGACTTAACTCTGTGGAGCCTTTGAGACTTTTGAAAAATACGTTTCTAGAGACAAATGTGATTGATCTAATATTTTGAAATTCTTCTTAGGCAAAGGGGCTGATTTGAGTAAACCTCCATGTCGAAAAGCGAAGGAAATCCGAAAAGAAAGGAAAAGATTAAAACTCATGCAGCAAAACCCAGCTGGAGAACTTGAGGGTTTCCAGGCACAAGGTCAGCCACCATCTTTGTTTCCAGCAAAGGCTAAATCCAACCAGCCCAAATCACTTGAAGATTTAATTTTTGAATCTTTACCAGAGAATGCATCACACAAGTTAGAGGTACTTTGGAGGGGTTTTGTTTTATTTTATATTTTTTGTTGGGTTCTTTGTTTTTGTTTGAGGTTATATTAATCAGTTGATTTATTGCTATTTAATGAAAGTTAAAGAGAATTGGGTTGCAGTAGTCTTTGCATTCACTGAATTAATTGTTATTTGAGAGGAATCTTTATTTATTTATTTATTTATTTATTTTTTAATGTGTTTGAAAATACTTCTAGATAGCTGCTTGTGAAAACGAGACCAGTTTTAGGTGTGTTGTAGTGCAAGGTGCTCTGGCTTTTCATTTCACTTGATTAAAATTTAGCAGTTAAAGAAGAAAAGAGAAATACTCTTTAAAATTTCATTTTTGGAAGTTTTGGTGTAGGTACTAAAAGAGAATCGATCACGCACGAGGCAAATCTCTGTTTTATCCATTATAATTTTATGATCTTGACAAAGGCAACATTTGTTGCAAGGCAGCAGTTAGGAATGAACTAAGTGACACCCCATTGTGCTACTAAAATCCTTTCTCTTTAAGTTCTCCTGGTTTAAGCACAATATAAATACTTTTAGAGTTAAGTTCTTTTTTCTTCCAAATTGATTTATTGGCTCATTGGAAAAGTCATGACACGTTTTTGCATAGAAAAACATAGGGAAATGCATCATGACTTTTCCAATGACCCAATACATTTCTAGCTCAAGTACAGATTTCTCAGTTTTATATATATAAAATTTCTAAGATATTAGGCATAATGGTTTTCTTGTTACTAATACCTGATTAGTAACAGCCTTTGAATTTATAGCTTTATATCATCTAAGTATTTGACTTACTATAAAGCTGCTACTAAAAAATAACTTTGATACATTCTAAACCTTAGGACAATAACTTTATCACATAAATTTTAACAGCTTTTGACTATTAGCTTTTCTGATTTTGGTATTGCCTTTTTTCCTTCCAAAATTGTAAAAGAGTTGAACAAAACTACTTAAAATATTTTTTGAAGAGTCTTTTGTCTCTTGATATAAATAGTAACATATTTAGAAAACCAGACACATGTCACATAACAATTCTACAGTAGTCATTTTCTTTTGCTTTTGTAATGTGGTAATACTGTGCAGGTTGTACAGAGATTTGTTATCCACAGGGTGTCACTCTTTCTTTAAGAATTATTTCTCATGGCACATACACAGTTTCCAGTTATGCCCTTGTGTTTTTGCATTTTATCTTCTGTTTTATTATTATATTTGTTAACACATTTCAACTGGTTGATGAATAATGTTAAAATAAATGTTAGTCATTACTGTGCAATTACTGCTTTTTAACTCATCCTTGTTTACATAAGAGGAAACGAAGGCACAGAGAGGTTAATTTACTTGACCAAGATGGTAACATAAGATTTGAGCAAAGGAAATTTGACTTCAGAGTCTTCATTCTCAGCTATGCTATGAAATAGGAACACCTTGTGAGGGTTGTCTTTGTAAAACAAAGTTACAGGTTTAGAGTTAGCAATGGCGAATGAGAGTGTCCAAAAGATATATTTCACATTTTTAGTGTCTAGCTAACTTAATGACAGTGAGTTATATACAACTGAAGTAAAAGAGTATTTATTTGTGTTTGTGTCATAAGTGCTAGAAGTACTCCGCCAGTTTATAATGGAGGAAGCTTTACATAATTCAGTCATTAGAGCCGAGGCTTAGAATTTAGAAGTGATCTTCCTCTGCTTTCTTAATTAGTCTGTGCATTGCAGAAATAACTTTTTTCTTTATTTACTAACAGGTTGGTTTTTAATTTTAAAATATTAATATTATATGTTTTAATATTTGGGTTGGAACTTGTTCTTTTGGGAGGGAGTTACTGCTAATGCATATTCTGGGAAATGAATAAATAAATTAATTAATGAACATTATTTTTTAACTCCTTCTGAAGGTGAGGGTGGTGAGATCATCTCCACCAAGTTCTCAGTTCAAAGCCACATTTCAGGACTCTTACCAGGTCTATAAACGTTACCAGATGGTTATTCACAAGGACCCACCTGATAAACCAACTGTGAGCCAGGTCAGCAGGCCAAGTGTAATTTTTCTGTGGAAAAAACTTTCCGCTCCCTTTTATATTATTGTATGAAATCTTGGTTTACTTGTGGTACATTTTATTTATATTCAACTTGAAACATATCTATAAGAAGATAGGATCGTGAATTAATGGACATTCTGAAAGTGCAAATTCTACTTAATACCATATTAAGTGCCAGTCACATATAATTCCAAAGTGGAAAGTAACATGTAAAATTATCTTTATTTAAAGTCAGTATGTTTGGATGCATTTTCTAAAACTTAGTAATCCTTAGAGCTCCAAGTTAAAAATCTGAGAAGAAAATGTAACTTTATTATTTTGTAGTAGGTTTACTTCACCCAGCATGGTTAATGTGCTTTATCCGTATTTTAAAAACTATATACAGGAGGAGTTCATACCAGCTCAATTTTTGTTACTTTACTACCCATGTGCAGTTGAGTAGGACTAGATAAGTAAGATAGTAAAATGTTTTAATAGAAGTAGTTATGTGCTTGTCATTTTGTAAACCAAGTGACTGAAGAAAAATCTGGAAGGGATAAAGGTTAACAACAATAATGGCAAAAGAAGTGGCCTTGACCACAGTTAGCAGCCATAGTGACTTTACTGTTTGTTGATAGCCGTAAGGTAGAGGAGAAAACAAAATAAAACACAAAAAACTAGTCCTGCCTGTAGGAGTTTAAGATTTTCATGAGTATTAGTACAAATGGTGGCTCTGTGCCAGACCACTTGTTGCAGAGTTTATTCTTTTCATAACAAATTCCAGTGCTGAGCTTTGGAAACGGATTTGCGGAGATCTTACTCTAGCCTCACCTTCAGAAGCATGTCATCAGGTAGAGATGTTTCAATAGCATTTGCTTGTATTTTCCTTGCTCTGAAGGTGAGGTTAGTACCTGTCTCCTTTGAGGACCCAGAATTCAAGTCGTCCTTCAGCCAGTCCTTTTCTTTATATGTCAAGTATCAAATGACCATACACCAGGATCCTCCTGATGAATGTGGGAAGACTGAGGTATCGTTTGTTAAACTTTTTTTCTACATTGATTAGGTTATCTGTGAAGAAGGATAATGTGTATTCTTATGCTATTTTCTTATCTGTTATGTGGAGTTAATGAGGTTGTCAGTATGTATTGCCAAACTTCTGTGAAAATGAGTCATACACATGAACATTTTAAATAATTCAGAAAAAACAATTACAGATTCAAGGTATGTTCTTACTAAGTGTCCTCTCCAGGAACCTGATTGTAGTGTGTTTACATGTTCAGTCACCCAGCTTGCATTCGCACTCATTTATTGAGTACCCACTTTGCTGGACAATGTGCCATAGAACAAGGGGAAGGGTCTCTGTCTCTAAGAAATTGATTATCAAATGGGAAAGACAGACCTTTAAACAAAAATAGCTTATTAAGTGAGTAGGAGAGACTTAAATATGTTGAGATTATTACATAGAGCATCAGTTAACAAGCACTTATTGAGAACCTTTCCTAGGCTGGGGATATTGAAATGAAGGAGATTGGATAGTTGTCAGACTGCAGCAGTGATGTATTGGAATAAAGATGCCAATAGATGATAAAGAATTTTGAGGGGCTGGCAGGTGGCGTGGTGGTTAAGGGCACTGGACTCCCACATGGCCGACTGTGGTTCAAGTCCTGGACATGGAGGCTTGCTTTCTCACTTTCCATCCATCTCTATCTCTCTCACTCTGTCCCTCTCTGGTCAAATTAAAAATAAATGAATAAATGGGGGTCAGCAGGTGGCATGGTGATTTAAGGATGCTGGATTCCCACATGGCCAACCATGGTTCAAGTCCCGGGCCTGGCAGCTTGCTTTCTCATGTTCCCGCTCTCTCTCTCACTCTGTCCCTCTTTGCTCAAATTAAAATAAATAAATAAATAAAATAGTTCTAAATAAAATAAAGAATTTTTATTTATTTATTTTTTGGAGCAGGGTTTGCTATTGTTTTCATCCTGGAAATTCTCTGCTTGACAAACCCTTGCTTGCAGAAAGAGTTACGTACTCTGTGGGGCTGGCTACTGAGAAACTGATTTGGACATTCTACTTTGTGTCTACGTCTTGAAGAATGGCATTTCATATTGAAGCACATTTTTGACATGCAGTGCAAGTGTAATGTGCTGTGTATAGGAGTACAGTTTTCTTTATGAGCAAATGGCCAGAGGCAAAAACAGAAACCAAAAAAGTTCTTTAAAAAATGTGTGTTCTCCTGACTTAAGGGGCTCTATGCAACATTGCACTATGGTGTAGTTTTATTAATATAACAGGGGAACCTAATTTAATTGTGTTTGAGAAGATAAGTATTTTTGCTGTAAAACATTTAAAGTAAATAGCAGTCAGCCTATCGGCTTGGGGATTTCAGATAACCAACCATATCAGTGCATAAAATCCATTTTGTCTCTGTTGGTAAGTATAAAGTAGTCATTTAAATACCCTGAAAACTAGACTAGTTTTTTGAGAAATTTGATGAGAAATATAGATTGCTTAGATATCCCAAAATAGCAAGTCAATTCATTTTAGTAACATCTTCAGAAAAGTAGCATATAATTGCAGATAGTGGGATTGTATATGACTTTGTAAATTACCCCAGTATGTTGGCTTCCATTACTGTTTTCAATTATTTAGTTAGGCACCAGATTTTCAGAAAATAATGTAATATAAATGAATAAAACTGGAGTGATTTGTGACTGAATTGTGTATAATGTAGCATAAAGCCAGGCACAGATTGCAGAGCACATCATCTTTGCTTCTATCTAAATTGTTTGAAACGTAGTTCTTGAATCCATCAAGGAAGCTGGTGGAAAATTAATCTAGGCTGCGTGTACTCTGTAGAATAATGTCAGGGCAATTTTTCTTTTTTCTTTTTTTCCATTACAACTTGTTTTTATTTTACATTTTTCCACAAACATTTACTTTACATAGCAAAGAATTTTAGCTCATACTCCATAATTCTTGACAGTTTACAAACAACTTTCAAAATTTCAAAATACTGAATTTTAAAGATAATGTTCAAAATATGTCATAATTTTGTGCAATTTTATAACTATAACAACAGAAGCAGTCTGGTTTCAAATATATATATATATACACACACACATATATATACACACACACACATACATTTAGAGTGCAGACACTCAGTATATATTAAGTGGGGACATACAATGCCTCTCCTTCATAGCATGGCTTGCTTCTCTCAGCAGTAAGTCTTCCATATTCATCCACTTCTTTTCAAAAGCCAGGGTTTTGTTGTTTTTTATGGATGAATAGTGTTCCATTGAGTATATGTGCCACAGTTTTTCTAACCATTCATCAGTTCGAGGGCATTTAGGTTGTTTCCATGACTTAGCAATCATGAAAAGTGCCACAATAAACATCGATGTGCAAGCACTTTTTCTATTAAATATTCTTCTGTCCTTCGGGTAGATACCAAGGAGTGGGATTGCTGGATCATATGGTAGTTCTATTTGTAGATTTTGAAGGAATCTCCAAATTGTTCTCCACGGTGGTTGGACCAATTTACAATCCCACCAGCAGTGTAAGAGAGTTCCCTTTTCACCACACCCCCTCCAGCACTTATCATTTTTTGTTTTTTTAATC